TTATGATCGAACATAAGCTGATAAGACAATGCATAAAAAGGCCAGTTCTTGGGATTCTTAGTTAATTGTTTGACTGCTTATAAGTGAATCTTGGCTAATGATAACTTTTCAAAGCTGAGCATAATTATCTTACATTTCTAGTATCTTCATCTTTAATTCAGACACATGACAGAGAGAAACAAACTGACCACACATGCAGTGGTGCATTCTGGTGTTTGTCAGTGTACCTACACAAAGATGCTAAAATCTCTTTAAATATCTCTTCCTCTTTAATACCAGGCCTACTGAATGATGCACTAAAAATCTTGAGTTCCAAATACGTGTTGGGTCTTTGGTGCTTTTTGCTGCTAAAGCATGCTGAAAGTTTGTTTCAAATGTTTGATATGACAATCGTACTAAGTTGGTACTGACATTTAATTTTCCAAGACAAAATAAAAAATAAGGCATGTTCCATATATCATTTCTTCTGTCACATCCTACGCCACACTTCAAATGGTAGAGTTCTGGTCACAAAACCTCAAAAATATGGCTTTAAGTTGGAGAAACTGGCAGTCTTTTCACTATTTCAGCAGCAATCTTCAGATAGGCTTGGGCCTGTAAAAATATTTAAAATGGCAATGTGTTTACCTCCTAGGTCAGAGTAAAACAGCATAAAATATTATATAAAACAGGCAACAAACTGGCTGTCTTCTTTCACCAGCAAACCAGCTCCCACCCCTTGGCTGAGCTGTTATGTAATGAAACATTTAGACACTTTCTAATTGTAAGAGAAAAAATGCGTCACCAACAGAATGTTGACAAATAATGCAGCTTCTGTGCCATGAAATTTCGGTTCGCTGGATGGGATGGGGAGACCTTGCACTGGCAAGTACCCACTGAAACTCCTATATAGGATCATTAGCTATTTGTGGGGGGGATAATTTGTGAGTTTTTCATAAGGTACTTACCTTCTTGTTCCATCCTTCATTAGCAGGCAAAAAACGATCAAAACCACAACAAACCTGGATTCCACTTTTCATAAACTTAACATGTACACATGCTGAACTTTTTCTCCTACAGTGGCGCCCCGCAAGACGAATGCCTCGCAAGACGAAAAACTCGCTAGACGAAAGAGTTTTCCATTTTTTGAGTCGTTCCGCAAGACGAATTTCCCTATGGGCTTGCTTCGCTAGACGAAACGTCTTGCGAGTTCTTGCGAGTTTGTTTCCTTTTTCTTAAAGCCGCTAAGCCGTTAATAGCCGCTAAGCCGCTAATAGCCGTGCTTCGCAAGACGAAAAAACCGCAAGACGAAGAGACTCGCGGAACGGATTAATTTCGTCTTGCGAGGCACCACTGTACTCATTTTCTTCCTAATGGACTATTTATCTGAATATTAAGCTGGATTGAACTGTTTGTGCCATCATTTCTAAGCAACACAAGACGGATTGAAGTGAAACAAGAGAATTTTAATGGAGGGAAATGGAAAGGAGAAATTTACAGTTCTCATTTATCATTCTGAACCGTCTTCATATTAATAAACTATGTTCTCAGTTTAGAGATTTTTCTGTTCTTTTCGGTTTGAGGTTTCTAAATGGGATTTTCTATAGCTCATCTTTCTGCAAAGAAAGGTGTGCGTTTTCCTTAGCAAAGGAAAAAGTTGACAGCTTAACATTAACAATTTGCTGACCCATCTATTGGAGGCCAAAGGCCTGCTCTGTAGTGCAAAGAGAAATAAAACAGCCAAGAAATGGCAGAAATGCTATCAAGGTGTAACTACAGATGAACAGAGGACTGCAAAAGACCTTGGGGCCTCAACTTCAGAAATAAGGCATGAACTTTATCTTGCTTTAAAACTTTACAGATTTATAAAGACAGGTTCCTCTTCCAGGCCACTTCCTAAACTATGATTTCTGAAGACACTCCTGCACAAAAAGCACAAGGGACACATTCCAAAGGGACCATTCTGTGTGGGGGTAAGAAAAACCACATGCAGAGTCAAGACGTACATTGTAGTTTTCACCAATGCAATTCCATAACCAATGATGCAAAGTATTTTAAAACTGAAAAGAAGCCAGCTATGCCAGTTGCAACAGTGAAACTACAAGGCATGGCAAGTTGCATGCCTGGGTTCCTTATGAGGACTGCACATGTATCTATATCACCTAACACAGGAGGCAAACAGGTATCTCAGAGTTCCTAAGCACAGACAATATGACACAATAAATATCTTAATTTTCTATTTTAAAATAATGCACAGGTAACATTTTAAATTTGTTTGCATCTTCTTGGCTTTCTTATTAGACATTAGTATAGGAAGGTAGTGAGCAAATTCTTTTCACCCTACTTTGGAACATTTTGGGGGCATAAAATGGTAGCTGGATTGCACAGGGTGCTTATCATGTTCCAAATATCTCCATTTTCTAATGGATATGTGCAGGTTTAATATTCCATTCATCATCAGATAGAACTGGACCTTCGGCTAGTCCATGAATAATTCTAATAACGTGAAAAGTGTTCTTCAAGGTCTATTTATTAAATCTTCTGAATTTTCCTTTTATTTCTTAGCATGCAAGGATCTTTCTGAGCACAATTCAAAGTGTTGGTGCTGACCTTTAAAGCCCTAAACGGCCTTGGCCCTGTATACCTGAAGGAGTGTCTTCACCCCCATCATTCAGCCCGGACACTGAGATCCAGTGCCAAGGGCCTTCTGGTGGTTCCTTCACTGCGAGGTTACAGGGAACCAGGCAGAGGGCCTTCTCGGTAGTGGTGCTAGCCCTGTGGAATGCCCTCCCATCAGATGCCAAGGAAATAAACAACTATCTGACTTTTAGAATACATCTGAAGGTAGCCCTATTTAGGGAAGTTTTTAATGTTTTATGTTTTATTTGTTTTTAATATTCTGCTGGGAGCTGTGGCACATGCACTGTAATAAACAAAGCAAAAATGAACAAGATGAGATTTGTACGCAAACTACATTAAAACTCACCACGTCACTCTGAGGCTGTGAGACCACAATGGGCTTGCCAGCATCAGATGTTTCTCTTATGTGGACATGTAGAGGAATGTCACCTGTATGAAGAGCATAAATTGACATTTAAGCTCAATATTTTATACATGCCCTAAATTCAACTAGCAATGGTGTTACTCATATTTCAGCGCAGTAAGTAGCAACACTTGAATGAAAATCAGCTGAAATACATGCACTGCCAAAGTCATTCAAACTATTTGTTAAAGAAACATTATTCATATTTTTTTATTTTACTGCTAGATAGAACCCTGCCTTACAGCCATCTACGGAAATGGAGAGTCTTTTCCCTTTTTGTCTGCTGCAATTACCCAATGGGAACAAAAATTCATAGACGATGACCTATTTAGGGTGACAAAAGAAAGCATGTCGGACTTCCATGCACCACTGGGCATTCTGTTTACTTTCCAGTCTCCACTCTGGTCTGGAACCAAAAACTGCCTTTGAATTCATTTGTGCTGCAGTGCAGAATTCCATGGCCCTGCTATACCAAAACTCAAGCTAAAAGGCCAGCCGAATGCTTGCAGTGCCTAGCGCTCACAGAGCAGGTCTGCAGTAAAGTTTCCCAGCTTCCAGCTTGTTCATGCCCCAAGTTATTTCTTCGGTACTGCAGTTCATTCCCTGCTGATTTCCACAACTGTAACATCCTAATCAATATTCAAATACAGGCTTAAATATTTAATTGCCAAAATGAAAGGAAGTGTTATTGTTATTAGGGAACCACTGATTTAATTAAGTGCTTGTTACATATTCAATTAATTTCCCTTCCAACAGTTAACAACTGCGTATTGTGCTTTTCTAATCAGCAGGGGACCGCCACGGAAATAAAGAAAAATGGCACAATAACACACAGGATGGACCCATCCTTTAAAAACAAAAATCTCTTGTGGAAAATTAAAACTTTTTCAGATTCCAACAATGACAATTATTACGCAACAGCTGAATATAAATCAAATCTATATATAAAATGGTAAGAATAGCTGTACAGAAAGCAATTTTAAGGGAGAAATCTGATGCTCCCTGCAAGGGTGACTGAGGAGCTAAATGATGCTGTGGACTGCCCTCTCCACAGGTGCAGAGGCCCATGGGTAAAGAGACTTCCTTGGTGCTGGAGCAGAAAGCTACACTGCCATTATTCTATAGCTGATGGTGCATTTGCCACAGCTAATGCAGCGTCCTAGGCCGGAGCCACAACTCTGCCATCCATGAGACAAAAGCCCCTGTTTGTCCCCTTGCTGTGATGAAAGGTTGGGCCTGGGGATCCAGCAGCTCAGTCCAAGTTCTCAAAAGTCAGTCACCCACGATTCTGCAGTGATTCCATCCCTTTCTCAGAAGTATTGGGTACCCTGTTTGTTACATGAAGTTTGTTACAAATATTGGGCTTGGGCCTTAAATGAAAACAAGTTAAGGTAACCTGTGAAGGATAACCAATATTGATACCTGATGTTTAAAATTTAGAAAACACACAGCAGAAGCTGGATAAAATATTCTTGATGTTGAAAGTTCATTCCTACATATCTATAAATTGTTGTCTGCTGTTTTACACTTTTCCAGGGGTTACTAACCATTATTTGGCCAAAGGACCGCATTCATCCTTGGCTACGCCACTGAGGTGGGGGGCTTATCAGTCATCTCACATGCCCACTTGCACAGTCCTCTCCTCAACTTATATGTGTATATCAACTGAGGAGAAGGGGTTATTATCCTTTGCTTGCTTGTAAAAGGATCAAACTGATGACGGAGAAGATGCAATTTAGATCCTTATCAAGGTGCTGGGCTGGTGGAGAAATTTAAACCTCTCTGTCCCAATGCCATTCTTGCTTTATTTCTTTTTACCTTTTGCTACTGATGTCAAAATCAGTGGTCTTGGGGAGCCAGAAGCATTAGATTGGGGACCCCCCATACACAAATCTCCTCTAGGGGATTGGGGGAACCCCAGAAGGTATTTACAGAGGGGAATCCTGTTGTGCAAGCAGAAACCAAGCCTTATGTGGAATGTTTGAGGGAGCTGGGTATGTTTAGCCTGGAAAAGAGGAGACTGAGAGGAGATATGATAGCCACCTTCAAATATCTGAAGGGCTGTCACATAGAAGATGGAGCAAGCTTGTCTTCTCCTGCTCTAGAGGGTTTGACTTCAACCAATGGATTCAAGTTACAAGAAAGGAGATTCTGACTAAACATCAGGAAGAACTTTCTGACGGTAAGAGCTCTTCGACGGTGGAACGGTCTCTCTTGGGAGGTTGTGGACTCTCCTTCCTTGGAGGTTTTTAAGCAGAGGTTGGATGGCCATCTGTCATGGATGCTTTAGTTGCGATTCCTGCATTGAAGGGGGTTGGACTAGATGACTCTTGAGGTCCATTCCAACTCTATAATTCAATAATTCAAAACCCTTGCACTGATGGAACATGCTGATCAGTGTTACTTTGGATGCAATCGTGTTTCATGACTATCTGGCATATCCAATGCAGATGACTCTACACTAATTATGTGCTCCAATGTATAGGTGCACGTCAGAAGGACCATGAATCAACTCTAATTGTGGGACGTTTTGCCATGGGAGGCTTCTTACCAATAGTCAGTACCAGTGACAGCTGAAACAAGATCCCAGACTCTAATCCTCATTACGCTTCCAGCAGACAGCCAAGCTAACCCAACTGTGTACTTTTAATTATGGATTTCCTTGCTCTGCTAGGTCTCTGTCAGCCCCTAATGCTTCTATGACAATTTTTTTTTTATGAAGTTCACTTCCTGGTTCTAAATGGATAATCTGTATGAACTGATATAATTACAGCACGGTGTGAAAATATAAATCATTAGCAGGCACAATTATCTCATTTACCAGCTTAATTGAGGTATGCCACATTTTACATTTCATTACCAGCTTATACCTGAAACATTGCAGGCTTCAACACAGAAGAATTATTTTCATCGGGGACTGTTAATTATTTTCAGCGTGGAGGGCCAGATTCTCCTGGTCAAATTGCCCTCGTGGCTGCTCCGCTCAGCCATAACTGTGTTGCTATCCTATGAGCTGAGAGAGCTACAGTCTGAAGGGGCTCCAGAGCAGAGCAAGTTGTTGAAAGAAAGCAGTAGGTTGGGGGAAAGGGGCCATGGCAGGCAGAGCTACAGACCAGGGTTAAAGGCAGAGAGGGAGCTGTGAGGTGAGAGGAGTCAGTGGACAGAGGATATATGGGGAAAGGGGTGGTGGTGGTGGTAGGAGTTTTTGAGAAAGAAGCCAAGCTGTGGGAAGAAAAATGTGTAGCTCCTCTTGCTAATGACACACCTGAGGTTGAAATATGAAGGCTGCAGCCAGAGGTTAAGACAACAGAAGCTGTTGCATTTGCATCCTGACCAGGTAAGCCATCAGAAACCACAAGATGGGCAGCAACAGGTAACGGCCTCAAATGGCAAAGTTCATCTAGGGAAGGTGCAACTTATAGAGCCTTGATCGGACAGTATGGTAGAATAAGGGCAGGTGGGGTTAAACCAACCCACTCTTACCTAAAGTTTGCCTGTAAATCTGTTGGTCTGACTAAATCTCTTTGTTGTGGACCCCCGCCCCTCAGTCCTTTCTTCCTGCATCTATCACTCATCCTCAACTAGGGTGAGGGATATGGAGCCATATGAACTGTTCCCTACAAATCCAACCATGGGGAGCCACCCTCGCAAGAAACCTGGCTGGGGAAGGTCTGTTCCACCCCAGCTGAAGAACTTGGGAGACCTGCTTCTCATCTAGCCGATAAGCCATCTTCTTTCAGGAAACAGAAGATCACTACAACAACCTTCTTTCTCTCCCTTGCTCCCTCTTTTAAAGAGTCAGATCTTTCTGAACACAATTTCATCAGAAAAAAGGTTCCTATGATGTGGTACATGCAAGTCCAATCATATTAACACTGTACTTGGAAACATGTATGATGTGAATCAGTGGATGTGGAGGATGAAGGCCAAATAATTCATATTCTGCATTTCCTTCTATATAACACAGTATATAAACACACTGCCAGAAGTTGAGTGCCTGAAGTCCATTTATTTCAAAAGGATTAAACAGCAATCAAATAATTCTGGATTTAATTCTACTTCTTCTTATTTAATACTTTCAATCACCACATTCTTACCTAAAACATCCAGACCAAGATCACAGGCTAGATTCCTCACACCATCAGTTCCAAAAATGTGGGTTTCGTGTTTGCATTTTGGGCACCGGAAAAGGCTCATGTTTTGAACAAGCCCCAAAACCTGGCAAATAAAAAATAGAAAAGGTTAGTTTCTTCCAACTAGCCAACCTTACAGAAATAAATCCAGACACTTACCAATTACTCATAAAAGAAAAGCTGTGCCCCCACTCTAGATAGTAGGGAAATTATTCTCATGTCTACATTTCACAATTTTGACATCATGAATAGGATAATGAAGCATGCTATAAAATATGTTGTGCAGGATTACTCTAACGAACCCTGTCAGCAGAAGCCCTATGCAATGACTTCCACTTGTGCACCAGGGATTTCCTCCCCCTCCTCTCTCCCCAAACTCCCCATTCCACCCCCACTGGCTCGGGGGGGAGAGGACTGGGGAAACACCCAGGGGTAGCACTGGTGCCATCTCTGGGGGACCTGGGTGCCTGGGCACCACCCACAAAATTTCCACTGGGGGTGCCCCACTGTCATGTCGCACACATGCGGGCTGCTTGGCTGCCACTGCTCAGTGCCTTACCTCTGCTGGCTCTCTGGCGCCACTGCAATGGCAGTGGTGGCAGAGCAATGCGCACACCGCTGGGCACCCACAATCTGGTGCCCAAATCAGCGCTTCTGGAGGGCTGTGTGCAGGGGGAGAAGAGACGGGATTGTTCCATTTGGCAGGCTGTTTATGTAGACAGAAGATCTGTCATAGCGCAACACGAAATTCCATCCATTACAATTATGTTTTTTGTACAAACCATTCTCTGAGCAGTAAGAAGATCCCAGGCAGGATCAGTTACTTTGGGAAGATTATAGTTCTGATGAGTAGCTCTTTATTAACAATTCACAGGTTGAGCAAGCAGAAAGAAAATCGGTAAGCAGCGTCCATTTCAAATCACTGCCCACTCAAAAGGAGCAACTGCCATGGACCTTCTGGCGGTTCCCTCCCTGAAAGCCAAGTTACAGGGAACCAGGCAGAGGGCCTTCTTGGTAGTGGCTCCCGCCTTGCGGAATGCCCTCCCATCAGATGTCAAAGAGATAAACAACTACCTAACGTTCAGAAGACATCTGAAGGCAGCCCTGTTTAGGGAAGTTTTTAATGACTGATGTTTTAATGTATTTTAATCTTTGTTGGAAGCCACACAGAGTGGCTGGGGAAACCCAGCCAGATGGGCGGGGTACAAATAATAAATTATTATTATTATTATTATTATTATTATTATTATTATGCTTCAAGCTCTGACGAGTCAGAGCTATTCTTTCTCAAATTCAAAACTGTGAACTTTCTAAGTCTCTCAGCTCCAACTCACGCCAAACAAATGAGCTTAAAACCTCTGCAAAAAATGATGTGAGCTAAACAAACAGTGCAATTCTAAGCATGTACACTCAGAAGTACATCCAACTTTGTGCAATGAGGCTTACTCTCAAGTAGGTATGTTGAGAGCAACAGGCTAAATAAATAAGGCTATCTGCTGCCTTGACTGACGATTGAATGTGAACTCATTGTTAGTAGCCAAATTATTCCAAAGCTAAAGGAAAACTGAACATTCTCTGTAATATTATCTATGCCCTTAAAACATCAGTTTCATTGGATCACTTACAAGGGGGGGTGGGGAGAAGGGAGGAAAGAACTATGATTTTCTATTCACTCTAAAGAAGAGAAACATATTTAAAAATCAAACAACAGAAATAATGACATCTGGCATGATGTGACAAATTACTGAAGGAAAACCTAATGCACTTATATTAGATGTCGCTTTAAAAGCTAAATGAACTGAGTTAACTTAGAAAACCTGTCAGGAAAGTTAGCAAGGCTGTATGTAACATCAATTCTTTCTTTCTTAATGAGGACAGTGGGGGGGAGACTAATTATATTTTATTCATCACTCAAACCACATTCTGCACACTAGAGTTTCTCTCCCCTTTGCCCAAGCCTAGAAAAACATTAGAATCGCCTCTCTTACTTGCGGTATTAAGCCTATTTATTATCAACAGATTTGAACTCAGTGTTTCAAATTATATTTCTGAGGCTAACTTAAGAGTTTGGTGTAATATAAACCTAGCACATGTGTGCTATGCTTGCTAAATTCAAATACAGCCGTGCCTCGGAAGTTGAACAGAACCCGTTCCGGAAGTCCGTTCAACTTCCGAAACATTTGGAAACCAAAGAATGGCTTCTGATTGGAAGCCGTGGAAGCCCCGTCAGACGTTTGGCTTCCAAAAGAACATTCAAAAACCGGAACACTCACTTCCGGTTTTCGATTGTTCGGGACTGCCAAGATCATTCAACTCCCAAGGCATTCGGGAGCCGAGATACGACTGTATGAGGAATCCCCAAAAGTACATATGGCAATGAACCCCCTCCCAAAAGAAAACTCACCAAGCCCAATTACGGATACTTATTAAACTGGGTTGATTTCTGCATAAAGGACATTTGGATGTGCATACTATTCAGGGGGTGCGCAGACGTAATACTGGAAGTTCACTAGGACAGAAGCCAGAATTCAAAAGAACTTACTGAAAGGCAATCTAGGGGTGCACATATGTATCTCTCATCTTCTAGAATGTTGCCTTTTGCAAACACTCATAAACCACAGGGTGGTGTCTAAGATCAAAAGTTGGGAATTCCCAGGGTGGTAATGGCTGGAGGAAGCAATGTTATCACTCAGTGGGTTCACGGAGGGATAAAATTCTGGGTAACACCAGCAGAGCATCAAAGCCTGTAGGTAGCAGCCATTTTGTAGTGTTAAGTAAAAGCATAAGAGTTGAGGTGAAACTAACAACAGGTTGGAAACCACACAGCAATTTCCTCTCTACAGCAAAGGGGCTTCTGGGCCTGGCTATAAGATGAGAGGAGGAAGCTGACCTTTGTCACCACTGTTTTCCATAGCTTCTGCCTCTCCCTGTACCAATTCAGTGTGTCTTAGCGCATAACAATTGAGGAAAAAGTACAACAAATATTATGTCTCTTCTCCTCTCATATCTAATAGTAATACTTGGAGGCACAGTATA